AAAGTTTTTCAAAAGTGGCAATTTACAAAAAGGTAGGCAAATCAAAAATGCACTGCTGGATGCATTTTCTTACAAGGTAAACCTACTGTATAATTACATACATCCCAGATCAAAATATTGAACATTCTTAGCACATAAAATTCTTCCTTGTAACCAAGCTCCAGTGGCTCATACCTATAATCCTAGCTGAGATCTAAGGATTATGGTTTGAAGCCAGCCCAGGAAGTAAAGTTAATGACACTCTAATGTCTAATTACCAAAAGCCCAAAAGTAGAGTTAAGGCTCACATGGTAGAGAGCTAGCCTTGAGCACAAAAGCTCAGGGACAGTATTCAAGCCCTGACTGAGTCCAAGGCCAAAGACAGGCATACATACAAAAACATTCTTCCTTGGGGCTGGGAAGGTGGCTCAGTGGTAGAGCGCTTGCCTTGCATGCCAAAAGCCCTGGGTTCGATTCCTCAGCACCACATAAGCAGAAAAAGCCTGAAGTGGGGCTGAGGCTCAAGTGGTAGAGCGCTAGCCTTGAGCTGAAGAGCTGAGGGACATCGCCCAGGCCCAGAGTTCAGGTCCCACGACCGACAAAAAAAAAAAAAAAAAGAAAAAAAGAAAAAGAAAAAAGCCGGAAGTGGCACTGTGGCTCAAGTAGTAGCACACTAGCCTTGAGCTGAAGAGCTGAGGGACAGTGCCCAGGCCCAGAGTTCAAGCCCCACGACAGGATCCCCCCCCCCAAAAAAAGAAATTCTTCCTTGTGTCTTGCCCAGTCAACATCTCCTCCTCATCTTCCCAAAAGTACTTAGATAATTTTGCTCATCTGGAAACTTTATATACAAGGAAACACACAGGTGATACACTTGTGCCTGGCTGCTTGCTTTCAATATAATGTAAAATGTAAAATGCTTTACATTTGTGAAGTTCATCTGTGTTGTGGCATCTGGCAAGTAGTCTATTAACTCTGGCTGCCACTTAAGTTGGACAATTAATTTCTTCACTCTACTGTTGGGTATTCAGGTTGATGACAGCTTAAAGTTTACAACTAATGTTACTTATAAACATTCTCTTACCTATAGTGGAGTTTGAGCTCAAGGACTGCTAGCACAAGTGCACTGAGCAATGCCTCTAGACCTTTTTGCACTATTTTTGTGATGGGTCTTCCTTCCTACCCAGACACAGGCCTATGTTGTTATATATTTCAGACTTCTCATTGTAGCTAGGCTAACAAGCATGCACCACCACTCCAAGCTCTGGGTTGAGAAGGGATCTCATGAACTTTCCTGCCAGGGCTGGCCTCAAACATGACTCTCCCAATCTCAACCTCCCCATGTAGTAGGATTACAGGTATGGACCACTAGCATCCAGCTGAAAATACAGAAAAATGCTGATTCAATGAAATATGTGTTTTGTTTTGTTTTTTTGGTGGGTCGTGGGGCTTGAACTCTGGGCTTGGGTGCTGTCCCTACACTCTTCAGCTCAAGGCGAGTGCACTACTGCTTAAGCCACAGTGCCACTTCCAGTTTTCTAGTAGTTTATTGGCGATAAGATTTCACGGACTTTCCTGCCCGGGCTGGCTTTGAACCACTTAAGCCACAGTGCCACTTCCAGTTTTCTAGTATTGGCGATAAGATTTCACGGACTTTCCTACCCGGGTTGGCTTTGAACCGCGATCAGATCTCAGCCTCCTGAGTAGCTAGGATTACAGGCGTGAGCCACCTGCGTCCATGTCTGTGAGATTCTTATCTCCAAAAAAACTACCCAAAAAGCCACAAGTGGAACTGTGGCTCAAGTTGTAGAACACTAGCTTTGAACAAAAGCTTAGGCTTAAGCTTAGTGAACAGCACCCAGGCTCTGAATTCAAGCCCCAGAACGGGGGGGGGGGGGGGGGGGGGGGGGATGCTTTTCTTATTCCTAAACTGTGCTGAGGCAAGAAAATAAACTGGGCCTGTCCCCAGACACAGTCTCTGGTGGAAGTCACAGGGAGACTGTGACTGCTGTATGCACATTTGCTAGCCATGTTGTCTGGGGTGGTACTCTCTGCCGTCAGTGCCACAGCTCCCTGTCTGAAGAATACAACCCTCCTAGGACCAGGGATATTGCAGACAAAAAAGATCTTTCATACTACACCGCCAAGTTTTGCCCCTCTACCACTTCTTCCTGAATATGGAGGGAAAGTATGTTTGGGGCTGATGCCAGAGGAATTCTTCCAGTTTCTTTATTCTAAAACTGGTGTGACAGGATCCTACATGCTTGGAACTGGGCTTATCTTGTATTTTCTGTGCAAATAAATATATATGATTGGGGTGGGAAGGTGGCTCAGTGGTAGAGCACTTGCCTTGCATGCATGAGGCCCTGGGTTTGATTCCTCAGCACCACATAAGCAAAAAGAAAAAAGCCGGAAGTAGCACTGTGGCTCAAGTGGTAGAGCGCTAGCCTTGAGCTGAAGAGCTGAGGGACAGTGCCCAGGTCCAGAGTTCAGGCCCCACGACTGGACCCCCCCCCCCAAAAAATTATTTAAATATATATGATTACTTCAGAGACCTTCTCTGGCTTATCATTATTAAGCTTAATGATGTATATTATTAAAAAATATGGAGCCTCTTTTGCAGAATTTATTGATAAAATCAATGAGCAAAAAATTGTCCAACTAGAAGAGGTAAAACAGGCTTTCATCAAACAAAATGATACAGAGAAGACACAGCAGGCACTGGTTCAGAAACATCACTACCTTTTTGATGTCCAGAGAAATAACATTGCTATAGCCTTGGAGGTTACTTACAGGGACCGGCTGCATAGAGTATAAAAGGAGATAAAGAATCACCTGGACTACCATATCTCTGAGCAGAATATGATGCATCAAAAGGAGCAAGAGCACATAATAAACTGGGTGGAGGAGCATGTGACACAAAGCATCTCTGCACAGCAGGAAAAGGAGACAATTGCCAAGTATATCACAGATTTAAAGATGCTTGCAAAGAAGGCTCAAGCACACCTAGTTATATAAATGAATCTCCCAACAGAGATCTCCAAAAACAGTTGACTGAATGGAAATCAGTTTGTGTACAAAATCTTTCTGTGTTGTTATCTCTAGAAATCAGTTCACATTTCTTAAAAACAAAAAAAATTAAAGTTTCATTTAGTGAACTAAATCTATTGGCCAGTCAAGTTGCTCATTCTTATTCTGCCTTTTGTGTTATTTGATCACTTTTAAATAAGCAGTTTGCTTTAATTGTTGGGTAATTTAGGATTATTACCAAGTTTATTACGATTATTATATTACATTATATTATATTATTATATTACAATTTATTAAAGTTTAATTTGGTAACTAATTTTACCATCTTCCAATAAAATGACAATTCAAACAAGAAAAAAGAAAAAGAAAGCAAACTGTCTTACAGACAGATGCCCAGTTGATAACAGCCACACAGCAAATTCTTTTATATGTCTTGGAAATACAACCAGAAGTGGCAGTATGGCTTAAAATGGTAGAGTGCTAGCCTTGAGCAAGAGTTCAAAGACAGGGCTGGGAAGGTGGCTCAGTGGCAGAGTGCTTGCCTTGCATGCATGAGGCCCTGGGTTTGATTCCTCAGCGCCACATAAGCACAAAAAGCTGGAAGTGGTGCTGTGGCTCAAGTGGTAGAGTGCTAGCCTTGAGCTGAAGAGCTGAGGGACAGTGCCCAGGCCCAGAGTTCAAGCCCCATAACCAGCAAAAAAAAAAAAAAAGAGCTCAAAGACACTGCCCAGGCCCTGAGTTCAAGCCCCAAAACCAACACACACACACACACACACACACACACACACCTTAAAACATTGGGCTTTGGGATAAAAATATAGTTTTTACATTATCCTAGAAAGAAGAAATATGATGAGATTCTTCATTTTTCCCATTTTAATTCACCTCAGGACCTAGCCTGAGTTGTTGTTATCCAGTCAATGTCAGCCCTTGGGTGAGAATGCCTATCTTAGAGAGCTGTATATTATATAGACGCCTCAAATAAAACCAATATCTGTACGTTCTGAAGGTACATAACGATTCCATAATATATGTCCACACACCATTTCCACAACCCAACTTCCCTGATGCTCAGAACAGGCCTATCTCCTTACTTTCTTGCTTTCTTCCTCATTTCTTCCCTCTTTTGTCTTCTGTTCCTCTCTTCCTACTCTCCTCTCTTTCTCTGTGACAGTACTGAGGTTTTTGATTCAGGGTGCCTCCAATTTGATAGACAGATGCTCTACCAATCTTTTTTGCTTTATTTTCTAGTTAAGGCCTCATGAACAACCTCATTAGCCTGTGCAGAAAAGTAAAAGGTTTTTTGGGTTTTTTTTTTTTTTGCCTTTCCTTATTAAACTTTATCCTTAGGTCTAAAGAGAAGGGAATACATATATTTGTTTAATAAAAAACACTGAGCCTCTTATTATGTATGAGCCTTTATGTGCTAAATGAAGTGCTGAAAACAGTAGAACAAGCTCCATGAGAAAAAAAAAGACCTAGTTCAAAATTTCCAACCACAAGAGTGACTGAAACAAGAGGCAGGACAGAACACCAGAAGCTATCTCTGTGTCCCAAAGTCCCTGAGGCACTCTTATTCACTAGACAGGTTACCTGTCCACAGAAAAACATAGTTGTTAGAATCTTATCTAGGGATGTTAATGTGTTTCTGCTCTAGAAAGTTATCCTGTCCTGAAATTAAAAAAGCTACTCTCAAATTTTGTATATTCAATTTGCAAACGTTTTAAAAAACAGAGACTGATGACAACTAACAATTAGGAGTAGGTGCTCAAGTAACTTATTTGTAAACTTGCTGTGACCTTCATGAAACTAAAAATATCTTCCCTAAATTAAATTCAGTATAAACCTTTTGTTCTAGAAATTCAAGAAATAAAATGTTTATATATTTTTTTCCAACTTCTAAAAGATTAGCTTCTGACCCCTGAAGATTTTGTGTTTCACATTAATTTGGACAGCAGGTTCTGAGTTATCCTATGGAAGAAGTTGACACTTACATTGCCGTGATTCCGAGGTGGCCCTCTTTCTCTTGGGAGCCTTTCATAGTCATACCGCCCCTCAGACCACATTTCATCTCTTCTGTAAGCCACTGAAGAAAAAAGAAACAATCACAGGTTTTACATTAGGAAGTAACAAGAAGACAGGAAGAAGTAAATGATTACCTCCCACACAAGTATTTTCCAAACACCTTAAGGAGAAGGGAGAAGATGCCAAGTGTCTCAAGAGGAAAGAAGAAAGTGATTATTATTCTTCCCAAGAATTTTAAGATGATTTTAAAAATATCTCCATTGTCCCTTTATTTTCAAAGGTATTAAAAGCTTCAAATTATTCATACCAATGACAGGGGTATAGGACACATACTGTTTAATTCTCATGCAGAAAAAAAATAGAAAAAGTCCCATTTAATCAACAGTTTAAAAAAAGGCAATGACATACTAATTTCCTTACTTTGTGTAACACTGGTTTTCTGCTTTTCCATTCTTAAAACTTCTATCTCACCTCTGTATGTTCTATAAGCTATTTTAACCAGAAAGTTTTAAGTGAACAATCCTGTAAAAATACTCAACAATCCTTGAAACATGACACTATTGATCTTATTTAATATTAAGTTATTTTATTATATAGCTACTTATAAAATCTAAAATTAACAGTTTTGTTAGCAATTCTACAGTTTAAGGGAGAGAGAAGGAAATAAGGAAGAGAGAAAGAATTTTTGTAGAAGAAATGGTTTCAACTTTAAATGAGGGCTTCCACATCTGGGTAGAGGATATACCAAGAGCACACAGCTGCAAGAGCAGATGCACAGAAACTGACAGGCAGAAGACAAAACAAAGAAGAATTAGAATACAAGAAAACAGGTCAGTTATATGAAATGAATAGTCTAAATTAAGGACGGCAAGCCTTTTTGCAATGGTCCACATATTTTCAGCCTTGCCAGTTGGGAGTTGGGCTCTCTTTCTTATGCTTGTTTTTGAGAAGATTACACTAAGATGTTTAAGGTCTTTTTTTAGTTGTATTTTTTTAAGAACACTGGCTTTAAAATAGCTCACATAGTTTGAAAGAAAAGTTGGCACGCTTAGTCTGAAATCCTTATAGTCTGGTCTTTGGCAGAAAATGGTCACATGCTCAAAAGTAATGGAGAAATCAAGGCAACAATCTTTAAATCATCAATGAATACACAAAACGGAAGAATTTCATGAAGAACTTTTCAATATCATTCCCTCAAAATTAGAAGTATTTGAGCAAGCTAAAGTAAAATGAAAATTTTCAACATTAAAAAAAAAAGATATAAGGGCTGGGAAGGTGGCTCAGTGGTAGTACTTGCCTTGCACACACAAGACCCTGGGTTCGATTCCTCAGGACCACATAAGCAGGAAAAAAAAAAAAAGCTGGAAGTGGCGCTGTGTCAAATGGCATGGCGCTAGCCTTGAGCTCAAGAACTGAGGGGCAGCACCCAAGCTCAGAGTTCAGGCCCCATGACCGGCAAAAAAAAAAGGTATGAGACAGATACTCATGGCTCACACCTATAATCCGAACTACTCAGGAGGCTGAGATCTGAGGATTGTGGTATGAAGCCAGTCTGTGATACTCATCTCCAATTAACTACCAAAAAGCTGGAAGTAGAGGCTATGGTTTAAGTGGTAGAGCACTAACTTTGAGCAAACAAGCTCAGAGACAGTACCTAAGCCCTGAGTTCAAGCTCCAGGACTGGCACCAAAAAAAAAAGTGTATGAAAACTATTAATTTCATAAGACATTCTTAACCTTTAAAAAGATAAAGAAACCTCAGCTAGGTATAGTGGCCATGGCCTCTACTCCTGACTCAAAGAGGGCTAAGACTGGAGGACCACTTGAGAACTAGAGTTCAAGGCCAGTATGAGCAACACAGCAAGAACTCATCTCAAAAAGAAGCAGGAGAGGAGTATGCATTAAATTCTAATCAAGCCTCAACTCTATCACTTTACATAAAAGATAAAGGATAGAGGAGTAACCCTATTAGAAAGATTAGACTCAACTAAGTGCTTCAGGGATTTTGAGGAGTGACTTGAGAGAAGATTGTAGACCCTATTTATGGGTCACTCCTCATCTAATGGCAATTTTCTGCTTGACAGTTTGGAAGATAACAGCAATACAAAAACCTCAGATATTTTAATTACGTTAAGAAACAGTCCAGTGGCAAGAGTTGGTGGCTCACATCTGTAATCCTAGCTATTCAGAAGACTTAAGTTCAGAGGATCCACGCTGAAACCAGAATGGACATGAGACATGAAACTCTCAAATCCAAATAACTAGCAAAACCTGGACTGTAAGTGTTACTCAAGTGAGAACACACAGTCCCCAAGCACAATATATTATATGAATGCTGAGGCAGGAGGGAAAGCCAGCCTGGGTTATATACAGTGAGTCTCAAAACAAAAACAAATTATAGAAACTAAAAGTAATCGCAAAGAAAATAAAAGAACAATAACCCCTGCTTTCACTGTATTTGATGTCAGTATAATTTGTGGAGGGGAAGGGGAAAAGCAAGTCCTTTAAATAGGATACAGGTGGACCCGTTGCAACAATGAGAAGTACAAGTTGTTATGTCAAAACCGAACTTTACAACTTTGGTGGGGGGGGAGACTTGGGTGGGGGGGAGGATTGGGTGGGGGAACGGGGAGGCTGGGAAGGGATAAGAAGGGGAAACAAAGGAGGAGGCTACAATGCTTGATAATATACTCATTATCTTGCCCATCTAATTGTAACCCCTCTGTACAGTATTTTCACAATAAAAAAAAAAATAATTTTTTTTTTAAAAAAGAAAAAAACAACTTTGTTGAAAACCTAGTCATCAGAAATAAAGCAGTGAGAATTAAACAGAAAAGTTACATAAGAAGTTGAAAAGAGCTACCTAGAATATACATTATCAAGAAGAAAAAGACCAATTAATTTTACTTGAATAAGAGCTAAACATGAACAAATTCAAAGAGCTATTTCAGAGTTGCCTCAACAACACAACCAAAAGCTTAAAAAAAATGAGAATTACTAATTATTTGGGTATAGATTTTCAGTTGGGAAGATGAAAAAGTTCTGTGTAGATGCTATTGATGATCATAATGTGAATGTGACTTAATTGCCTTTCTTTTTCCTTTTTCTGTGATAGAACTTACATTGCCCAGGCTTGACTCAAACTCTTGATCCTTCTGCTTCAAGTATTTGTCTCAAATATTTGGATTACAGATGGGTGACACACTCTGCTAAATTCTATTTTTAAAGATGATTATTAATAGAGTTGAGTTCATGTCTGTAACCCTGGCTACTCAAGGGCGCTTAGATCTGAATAATTGTGGTTTGAAGTCAGCTTATGTAGAAAAGTCAGTGAGATGCCAACTCTAAAATGACCTATAAAAAGTCAGGCTTCAAGTGTGGATCCTGTGGTAGAATACCAGCTGAGCAAATCAGCCAAGCAAGCATACAAGGCCCTGAGTTCAAATTCTGATACCACCAAACATTTTTATTAATTTTTTAAAAGGTCAAAATAGAAAACGTACTGAGTATTTTACCACAATGAAAATTTTAGAAATCAAGTGTGGCCACACATTATCTATAATCCCTGAACTCAAGAGGCTGAGGTGGGAGCAGTTTGAGTTGGTCAGCCTGAGCTACACAATAAAATCCTGTCTCAGAAAAACAAACAAAAGCACTTTTTTTCAGAAAGCCAAAATATGAGCTTATCTGACATCATAAGGTTACTAAATTTGCTAAATCTAATGATCACCATGGAAGGTATTTTTTTTTTTTGGGTCCAGTCGTGGGGCCTGAACTCTGGGCCTGGGCGCTGTCCCTCAGCTCTTCAGCTCAACGCTAGTGCTCTACCACTTGAGCCACAGCGCGACTTCCGTCTTTTTTCTTTTTGCTTATGTGGTGCTGAGGAATCGAACCCAGGGCCTCAGGCATGCAAGGCAAGCGCTCTGCCACTGAGCCACCTTCCCAGCCCTGGAGGGTATTAACTAGTATGCAAAACTTTTGCACTAAAAAAGCAGAAAACAGCCAGATGTTTTAATTAGCAACTCCTACATTTAATTCCATAGCTAGCTGGCTTCTCTGACTCTGTAACTGATGGATGACATCTTCATGGAGTTATTCACCTTAGAAGCTGTTAACTACAGCTGCTAGATAACATGCTTAAAAAAATAAGTAAAACCTGGCACTGGTGGCTCAGGCCTGTAATCCCAGCCTCCCAGGAGGCTGAGATCTCAGGATCCCAGTTCAAAGACAGCCAGGGCAGGAAAGTCTACAGGACTCATCTCCAATTAACCACCAGAAAACCAAAAGTGGTAGAGTGCTAACCTTGAGCTGAAGAGCTCAGGGACAGTGCCCAGGCCCAGAGCTCAAACCCCATGACCAACAACAACAACAAAAATAACCCTCATAGCTCTAGCAGTTAAAGTAGTGATACTCAACCCTGGGCATATACTTTAATTACCTAAAGAGTTGGTTTTTTTTTCTGTTCCTGGGGCTTGAACTCAGGGCTTGCACTCTGTCCCTGAGCCCCTCTGTGCTCAAGGCTAGCACTCTACCACTTGAGCCACAGCACCATTTCCTGCTTCTTCTGTTTATGTGGTACTGAGGAATCGAACCCAGGGCTTCAAGCATGCTAGGCAAGCACTCTACCACTAAGTCACATTCCCAGCCCCTTAAAGAGCTTTTAAAATTGACACCACTTAAGTCCTAGTCTCAGAAATTCCTACTATTTGGAGTAGATCTAAGTTCTTTCAAATCTTAAATTTATCTCAGCATGAGATCAATTGACTAATGCAAACTAAATATCCAAACTGACACACAAAAGAGATTTTAAGACTTGACTTGAACCTACAATTGTATAATATTGTTTCTATTGGAAAATATTTAAAACTCCAGATACCTAAAATTAAATAGAAATTTTAGACCTTATTAAGATCTTTGAAAATAAAATTAACATTTATGCCAACTAAAATGGTCAAAACAAAGTCCCAACTATCATTCAACAATGTTTAGAACTCAAGGAAAACCAAATGCAGTAGTAATTTAAAAAAAAAAACAAAAAAAAAACCTGGGCATTCTTGCTCAAGCTTGTAATTCTAGCTACTCAGGAGGCTGAAATCTGAGGATTGTGGTTTGAAATTAGGCCAAATTGGAAAGTCCATGAGACTCTAATCTCCAATAAATGATTTTTTAAAAGGTAGGAAGTAGGGTCTGGGAAGGTGGCTCAGTGGTAGAGCACTTGCCTTGCATGCCTGAGGCCCTGGGTTCAATTCCTCAGCACCACATAAGCAAAAAGAAAAAAGCCAGAAGTGGTGCTGTGGCTCAAGTGGTAGCATGCTAGCTTTGAGCTGAAGAGCTGAGGGACAGCGCCCAGGCCCAGAGTTCAGGCCCCACGACCAGACCCCGCCCCCCCCCCCCAAAAAGGTAGGAAGTAGTTATGGCTCAAGTGGTAGAGTGCTAGCCTTGAACTCAAAAGCTCACAGACAACACCCAAACCCCAAATTCAAATCCCAGGAACAGTGCACACGCACTCATGCACACAGTTTTAAAAAACTATTGCTGAGCTCACACCTAACTCCTAGCTATTTGGGAGGCTGACAGATAAGGATCATAGTTTGATGCCAACCAGGACAGGAAAGTCCATGAGATTCTTATCTCCAATTAACTACCAGAAAACCAGAAGTTGTCCTGTGGCTTGAACAAAAACGCTCAGGGACTGTGGCTCAAGTAGTAGAACAGTAGTCTTGAACTCAAGTGGTAGAACACTGTCAGGGACAGTGCTGAGGCCAATTTCAAGCCCCAGGACGGGCAAAAAAAAAAAAAAAAAATCTCAAGCCTGCTGTCCTAGCTACTCAGGAAGCTGAGATCTGAGGATCAGTGTCCAAAGCCAGCCAGAGCTGGGAAGGTGGCTCAGTGGTAAAGCTCTTGCCTTGCATGCTTGAGGCCCTGGGTTCGATTCCTCGGCACCCATAAGCAAAATAAAAACAAAAACCGGAAGTGGTGCTGTGGCTCAAGTGGTAGAGTGCTAGCCTTGAGCTGAAGAGCTGAGGGGCAGCGCCCAGGCCCAGAGTTCAGGCCCACAACCGGACCCAAAATAAAACAAAACAAAGCCAGCCAGAGAAGGAAAGTCAGGTCACCTTTATCTCCAATTTACCAAAAAGTTAGAAGAGAAGTTTTGGCTCAAGTGGTGGAGCACCTTTGAGTACAAAAGCTCAAGGATAGCATCCAGCCCATGAGTTCAAGCCGAAGGACCTCACCAAAAAATAAAAAATAAAAAAAAAGAGAAAACAAGGAAATCAAATGTTTAAAGAAAAGACATTGAACTGATACTAAAGAGGAGAAAAAAAGTACTTTTTCATTTATAGTGCCAGTACTGGGGCCTGAATCCAGGGCCTTCTGTACTTGCTTGCTGTTCCCTCTTCCCACCAAGACTGGTACTCTACTACTTGAGCCACACCTCCATCTTTTCCTGATTGAGTCTTGGGGATTTTTCTGCCGGAAAATTTCTTCAATTAAAAATCTAAAGATTGAGCCGAGCGCTACTAGCTACTCAGGAGACTGCAATCTGAGGATCACGGTTCAAGGCCAGCCCGGGCAGGAAAGTCTGTGAGACTCTTATCTCCAATAAACCACTAAAAAACTGGAAGTGGTGCTGTAGCTCAAGCGGTAGAGCACTCGCCTTGAGCTGAAGAGCACAGGGACAGTGCCCAAGCCAGAGTTCATATATATATATATATATACACACACACATATATGTGTATATATATATATATATATATATATACACACACATACATACTAAAAATGTTTTTCAAAAGAAGTAAAATCAATTCAGCATCATCCGTTTGTCTACAGTTACACCAAACCTTAAGTGTCCCAGAAAGACCTCCATTGGAATGAGGTGGAAAAAAAAACATATGTTGGTTAAAGTCAGGACAAAAGAGATTTTTTCTAAAAATGGTGACTAGGTAAAAGACTTTGTTAAGCAGAGAACAGAACCCAACAGGAGTATTCCGGAGTGACTGTGAGGAAGGAAAGGAAAAGCCAGGATACCCTAAACCAAGGGTGAGGAAGCATAAAGCTGGTAAGGTGATGAGGACACAGCTTAAAAGAGGGCTTACATCTTGGGCGAAAACCAAGTATAGAAGGGATTTGAAGCAGGGGAGGTTGGGCTGGCCACATGTATGCCAAAAGCCGAGTGGTCCTTTGATGGGCACTGAGGCATAAATGCCTCAAAATTCAGCTTGTACCCTTGGATGGATTGCACTTCCGTCCCTCTTAGAAGACGAAGACTATGGCGTTGGCTTCAAGCTGGATTGTGGAGGTTCCAAGACGGGGCTGTGAATTCCAGTCTGCTGACACGCAGGCTCCCAAGGAGAGTAAGAGGCCTGGTCTTGTATATACTGGTGGATAGAAGCATAAACTATCTTACATTATTTTTGACAGTTTTCTGTAAGAATAATTGGCCTGTTTTAACAACCTTTTAATGAGAAAAGGCAGTGCGTGTTCATTAGATTTACGGCAAGAAAAAAGGTGTCACAAGTTTATCCTACTCTCAAGCTAGCTGTCTCGCCGATTAGAGATAAAGCCTGTTTTAGACTTTAAAAAAACAAACAAACAGTTCCCAAATACCTAATAGCGAGGTAGGAATGGCGAAGACATTTAACAAAATTACCGACCTCCTAATTGATCTTGAGTTACCTCAGGTTTTTGTTTCTGGTTTTGTGTGTGTGTTTTCACAGAAAGCTGCTAAAGAAAAATGAATCTATATATTAGAAACAAGCTCTTTTTTCCTTCATGTCAAAATTCAGTGTGTCTCTCCACTCTTAAGTACAAACGTACTTCACAATCCATGCTGGGCACCGGTGGCTCACGTTGGTAGCCCTAACCATTCAGGAGAGTGAGATCAGGAGATCGCGGTTCGAAGCCAGCATGGGCAGGCAAAGTCGGTGAAAGTCTCTAATTAACCACCAAAAAGCCAGAAGTGGAGCTATGGCTCACGTGGTGCGAGACTGGAGCAAAAAAAAAAAAAGCTCAGGGACAGCGTCCAGGCCCTGAGTTCAAGCTCCAGTACTGGCACACGCATGCACACGCACACAAACACACACAATACTTCACAATCAAATGCAACAAGGGAACTCCACGAAACACACCCTCCCGCAACCCCCGAGTACGTATTAGCCCGTTTTCCACATCCCTATTCACCTCTGAGGAGAAATAATACGCGCTCACCGACTCGAAGCTTGCTGGGAAAACCCGCGAAATCCAGTCGCCCGCCCGCTACCACGATCTCCGGGAGCGACTTCCGGCGCGCGTGCTGTGACGTCAACACCCCGCGCCGGCCCCCAGAACCCCGGGTTTCTTGAGATCCGGGAAGAGGCGGCGTCTGCTTTCGGATCTCGGTGCTACACTCCTTCCAGGACCTGAGATGCTTAAACTTCTGCAAGGCTGGTGGCACTGTCGGGGTTGAGCCCCATCTTAGCCTAGGCCTTTCTTCGGTTATCCGGACTTGCCCCCGCCTGAAGGTAAAAGCCTCCTCTGCTCTTACGGCCTTAACCCCGGGCCCTCACCAGCCCGAAGGATATGCTTCTCCTCCGTCACCCCTTTTATTCCAGGCAATTCACCTGTAACCTCCACGAGATACTTAAAACAAAAAAAAGCTACGGATGTTGATTGGTTTCCAAAGTAATCTTCCCCACTACTCACCTCCAAAGCATTAAGCCAATTTTCCAAACTACTGCGCGAATTGACAAGCTGTGTGTGTGTGTGTTTGTGTGTGTGTGTGTGCAAGTGCAAGCGCGCGCCTGTCCTAGGACTTGAATTCACGGTCTGGACTCTGTTCCAGAGCTTTTTTTCCCCAGTGCTGGGGGCTTGGGGTAGTTAATTGGATATAAGACTTCCAGGGACTTTTCCTTCTTTCTCTATTTCGAATCACGATCCTCAGAACTTAGCCTCCTGAGTAGCTGGGATTTCAGGCATGAGCCACCAGAGCCTAACTCTCGTTTCATAAGTTGGTGATAACATCCAAAATGAAGAATTTCAAAGAACTTTACATTGTCAAGATGTGAAACTAAATTTTTCTCTTAGCATCACCCCACAATATATATAATATTATATACATATATATCATCACAACTAAAAATTATTAGCAAAAATCAGTAGTTCAGGCTCTCTCTCATTGGATGTGTGAGTGGGTTAGGAAGCACCTTCTAGCTCTAGGCCTTAGAAACTTGAAAGAGTAGCCTCGGGTTTTTCCTTTATCTAGTTTCAAAATAAAACCTTCTTCCAGCTGGGAATGTTAATTAGTGATAGGGTGCTTGCCTAGCATGCATGAAGTCCTGGGTTCAATTCCTCAGTACTGCATAAACAGAAAAGGCCAAAAATGGTGCTGTGGCTCTAGTGGTAAAGTGCTAGCCTTGAGGAAAAAAAAAGATTTCAGGGACAGTGCCTGGGCCCTGTGTTTCAGCTCCAGGCCTAGCAAAAACAACAATAACAACAAACAAACAAACACTCCTCTCAGAGCCCAAATAGCCCTCTACTAAAAAGTCAGAACTGTAGCTTGAGAAAAGAAATTCCTTAAACCACTCAATCTGAAAATGTAAGCAGGGTGTGAAAGTCAGCCTTAATTAAATCAGTGATTTTTCAGTATTTGATTTCATGTCAATTTAGGAATATCTACTTTAAAAATGCTTATGAATTGATTTCTATTTCAGAAATGAGTGGTGGCTTGGCCCCGAGTAAGAGCACTGTGTATGTGTCCAACTTGCCTTTCTCCCTGACAAACAATGACTTATATCGGGTAAGTTTCACTATTAGTACACAAATCTACTAAATTATTTAAGAAAGAGAATTAATGTAAGCCAATAGTATTCTATATACTGAGAAGGGAATAGAAAGACTGAGATCTGAGGACTGAAGTAAAAATCAGACTGGTCAGAAAAATCTCCAGTTAACTAGCAAAAAGCAAGAAGTGGATGTGGCTCAAGCCTCTTATTTAAGTGAGTAGATTTTTCTGGTTAAAATTCTTAATAGGTACATTATAATGTACTTGTGCCATCAAAATCAAAAACATTTATTATAAATACAAATAAGTAAAAAAAATTACAAACCTATAATTTCCAAAGAGAATTTACTGTGGTTTTATAGGGAATAGCAAGTTTCATAAACACAGAAGATAACCTGGGCTAGGTAGATATAATCCTAGCACTCCAGAGAGTGAATTCAAGGCCACCTTGGGCTTATCTCAAAAAGCCAAGACAAACAGAACAAAGTAATAAACAGTGGCTGGGAAAGTGGCTCTGTGGGAGAGTGCTTGCCTTGCATGCATGAGGCCCTGGGTTGGATTCCTCAGCACCACATAAGCAGAAAAAGCTGGAAGTGGCCGCTGTGCCTCAAGTGGTAGAGAATGCTAGCCTTGAGCAGAAGAGCTTAGGGACAGCATCTAGGCCCAGAGTTCAGGCCCCACGACCGGCCAAAAAAATAAATAAAATTTTAAAAATCCAATAAACACAAGATTCAACTAGCATAATGAAGTAGGAACCATTGTGGTAGGCTAATTCTTCCTGCTTGCTTAATTGGCTTTTAAACTGGTAATAGAGTGGAAGTTTTGGAGGAATAGACTGATAAGAGCAAATTGCTCCCTTCCCTGTCAGGTTAAGGTAGTGTGTATATCCGTGTGTGTGTGTGTGTGTGTGTGTGTGTGTGTGAGTGTGTGTGTGTGTGTGTGTGTGTGTGTGTGTGTGTGTGTGTACATATATAGAGAGAGAGAGGAAGCTACACAGTTTCATTATTTTGTTTTTAGTTCAGGATAAGAGTGATGGGAGGAGGTGGAATTTCTTCTGGCATGTTCTTTTACCTCTTTGCATTTGTCCTGCAGATGGGTGGTTGAGAGGAACTGGAAAAAAAGAATATGAATTCTTTGCATAGATTTAAAGAGATTCCTGCATATGTTATACATAGTACTTTGGTTGAGATAGTTTGAGCTTCAAAGAACAGGAGAAAAATTTACTATTTCTCAATAAAATTAAGAAATAGTGGTGGTCTGTATTCCCAGCTACCAGGAAGTGAAGGTAAGATTACAAATTTGAGACCAGTCTGGGCAAACAAATGAGACCCTATCTCAAAAAAAGAAAGAGAGAGAGAAAGAAAGAAAAACAGAGAGAGAGAGAAGGAAAGAAAAGGAAAAAGGTGTGGAGGATGAAGTTTGAGTGGTAGAGTACTTGCCAAGCAAGCGTGAGGCCCTGGGTTCAATGCATCACCAAAAAAACAAGAGATTTGCATGTGTGTGTGTGTGTGTGTGTGTGTGTGTGTGTGTGTGTGTGAGAGAGAGAGAGAGAGAGAGAGAGAGAGAGAGAGAGAAAAGAAAGAGAAAAAAAGAGAAAGAGAAAAAACTAGGGCTTGAACTCAGAGCCTGAGCATTGTCCTTGATCTTTTTTGCTCAAGAATAGTTTAGTGCTGTACCACCTGATCCACAGCTCCACTTCTGGCTTTTGCTGGTTAATTGGAAACTCAAATATTTTCCTGCCCAGACTAGCTTGAAACATCAATCCTCAGATCTCAGACTCCTAAATAGCTAGGATTACAGAGATAGGCTACTTGTACCCAGCCCCCCCCCTCCAAAAAAAACTTAATATATTGAATTCTTACTATATGCTGAATACATTAGTGTACAAAAGACGTGGTATTGAAGAGAAAGAAGCCATGTAAAATATGAAAAAGTCAAATTTGTCCAGGTATTGTAATCATGCCTATAATCCTAGCACTTGAAAGGCTGAGCTAGGAGGATCATAATTCAATGACTGCATGGTGAGACTGCTAATAGAAATTACTGGTCTGGCCAGGTACCAGTAGCTCATGCTTATTTGATTTTTTTTTTTTGGGGGGGGGGGTCTGGTCGTGAGGCCTGAACTCTGGGCCTGGGCGCTGTCCCTCAGCTCTTCAACTCAAGGTTAACGTTCTACCACTTGAGCCACAGCGCCACTTCCAGCTTTATTCCGTTTGCTTATGTGGTGCTGAAGAATTGAACCAAGGGCCTCATGCATGCAAGGCAAGCGCTCTACCACTGAGCCACCTTCCCAGCCCCAGTAGCTCATGATTATAATCCTAGCTGCTCAGAAGGCTGAGATTTGAGGGTAAAAGGTTGAAGCTGCCAGTACAGGAAAGCTCATGAGACTCTAATCTCATCAATTAACTACCAAAAAAGCAGGAAATGGAGAGCACTAGCCTTGAGCACCAAAGCTCAGGGACAGTGCCTAGAGCCTGATTTGAAGCATCAGGATGAGTACCAAAAAAAAAAAAAAAAAAAAGGGAGAGGGAGAGAAATTTCTGGTCCTGTGCCTCCAGTATTACTAACATCAGAGACCAATTATTGCTTAATTGCAGCATTATACAACTATTCAAAGACCTCAGAATTTTATTGTTGTTCATTGTTTATATTAGGGTATTCTGAAAGACTTTCCCACAGAACGTGATATAATAAGAACTATAAGTATATAGATAGAAGGGTGCAGATGTAGAAGTAAAAGGGAAGAAAAGGTCAGAGGATGGAGATCTATGAAATGGGATTTTTCTTCTTTTTTTCCTCTCTCAAGGTAAGAGTATGGTGGCTGGGAATGTGGCTTAGTGGTAGAGTGCTTGCCTAACATGCATGTATGTAGCCCTGGGTTCAATTCCTCAGTACCACATAAACAGAAAAAGCTGGAAGTGGCAGGCCGGCATGCAACTCATGATCCTACCTCAGCTTCCTTAGTGCTATGACGACAGGCTTTTCACTATTCCACTTGCCAGAAATGGATTTTCCATTACAAGTTCATATATATATGTATAAGTAGTGTAAGGTCTGCTTAGAAGTAATAGTTTACACCATGAGCAGAGAAAAGCAATAGTGATATTCCACAATATTAATAACTGAAGCACAGAGTTTAGCTGGAGCTATGGAGGAGTTGATAGTTGCCATGGAGATGCCTTGAATCTATAACACGTGTAAAGATTTATGGATATTTTTGGTTTGTTTGGTTTTGTTTTTTCCTGTGAGTCCACGCCCTTGTTTTTAAAAACTTGGAAAGTACGTGCTGGTATCCAACACCTGTAATCTTAGCTACTCAAGGGGCTGAGATCTGGGGATCATGGTTCAAGAAAGCCAGCCTAAGCAGGAAATTCTATCAGACTCTTACCTCCAATAAACTTCCAAAAAAGCTAGAAGTGGCTTACGTGGTAAAGCTGTAGCCTTCAACAAATAAGCTTAGGCACAGCACCCAGGTCAAGTACAAGCCCCATAACTGGCACCAAA